TAATAGCTGGAAAAAATTGCTTCATCTAATGTTAGAGCTTGAAACACATTTCAAGGCGTAAATAAGTGTCGAATACATTTGGCCAATATTTATATTAAACTTTTAAAATATCAGACACTAAAGAAAGTTGAGATTTTTTATAAGTAAGTGTTATTTGTTTATAATAGCTTTAATTCTAATATAATTTGTCAAACACTGTATAGACTGCATAATAAAACAAATCAAATTCAAACTCTTTTTAAAATTTCCACCAATATTTTAGGAAAGTATTTGTAAAGAACTCAAGTTTTGTATTTGTGTTTGAAACTTCGCACTAATGCTTTAAGCACCCTCAAAGGATATCAATTATTCATTTATTGAGTTGCTAGCTACCTAGCACAGTGAAGGTAATTGAAGTACAAAGTACGAAGGATCGCTAGTCTGCTCCACAGGTACTTTAAAAATATAGAATAGACCTGTGTATGGAAGTTGGGAATCATAATTTATTACGTTATTAATAAACCAATTGACATAATTTCAAAAGACCTTTCCGGTAGTGGGTTAAAGCCGTTGGAATCTTGTCAAACGGAGTCCCTTTCCAAAAAATTTTTTTTAAATAAATAAGGACTTGATTTTATAAATTTCTCACATTAACAAATAAAAACTTTCTCATTAAAATTATAAAGCTACACTTTTTGAACAACATTTATATATTTTTTCCTTTTCAGGTAAGGTAAAAGTATATTTCCATCTGAACACTAATTAGATTCATTGACGTCGTACAGATGTTATTGATGGACTTGTAGAACCCATTCGAGTGGTCTATTTTTAGACAGTCGCACCAAATCTCCCCAGAAAGCGGAGTGGGCAAATAAAAATTGCTCAGCCTGCACGGGATATCAGCCTAATCCCACCGATTAAAAGACTTACTCGTACTTTGTTGGGCAGATTAAACCACATTCCGTTTTGTTAGTTTCAATCTCGGGTTTAATTTAATATTTGATTTGATGGTGCTTCCAAATCCCTTTCTGCACATACTTTACTTCCATAATACAATGATATGAAAGCATTGTAATTTTGTAAAATATAAAGCAACGACCCAATAAAGTAGCTTAATGAAAAATCGGTAGGTTTTGTCACCATCTGCAACACATGCGAAAAAAAATTTTTTTTTTGATTAAAAAAACATATGTAGTTAAAACTTAAAGTTAAATAATGCACAAAATTGGTTAAAAATTAAACTATTTTAAATTTTTTGAGGTCAGGGAAAAATCCTGACAAGATGGAGCATTTCTGATGGTTCCATTGTCTTCAGCGGGTCAATATACAGGGGGTATCATAATCTGTTAAAGAGTACCTATGTGAATTTATTTTGTCTGGCAGTGTTATTTTTCAAATAAATAAAAATTAAATTTTATCTGATGATTTTAACACATATTTTGTAAAACTTCCAGCCAGTAACTCGGTATATACGGATTATATGAACTATTATACGAATAGCGTGTTCAACTTCTCTTCGGTTTCCAAAGAAATTATAAAGAATGCAATTAATAACTTAAAAAATAAAAAATCAAAGGATATCTAATTTCTGGGAGTATATCTAGACCCTAAGCTATTATGGAATCACCATACAACGCATGTTTGCAACAAATTATCAAAGAATCTGTATTTGCTACGTAATTTGACTCATCAAGTATCAGTACCAAATTTGATTACAGCATGCCATGGCCTCATTCATTCTGTTTTATCTTATGCCATACTAATCTGGGGTCATGCTACTTCAGCTTGTATTGTATTCAGCTTACAAAGAAAAGCTATAAGAATAATATCGGGACTTAAATTCAGAAATTACTGTATTTTGTTGAAAATTCTAACACTCCCTTGTGTATATACAGGGTGTCTCATAATTAGCTGCCAACCCTGAACAGGCCGATTCTATGATCAAAACTAAGTAAAAAAGTTCATATGAACATGGGTCCGGAAATGCTTCCTAAGGGCACAGGGACCCATTGAAGAGGGAGGAATGGAAATCATTTTTTTGCAATATCTCTCAATCGCGTTGTGATAAATGAATGAAATTTGGTATACACAGCTAAATTTTGATGAGCAATTTGATGGACTAATCCATTTATTTCCACAAGGTCCATTGGGGTGGGTACGGGGGGGCCCTTGGTACTTTGCGTGTGTAACTTTTTCATCTTTGACTTTTTAACAAATTGGACAGCAAATTCCGTTTTCCCGAACTGTTTTACGTTAAAAAGGTACTCTTGTTTCAAATCGTTATCTTTAACGGTTTCTGAGAAAATCGCTCTTGAATTAATCCCACTTTGGTCAATTTCATAGTAATTTAAACAAAAAATAATAATAATAATTTAATACGTAATCAGTAATACACATTATTGATGTAGAACAATTATGATATGATGATTTGTTTATGGCTTTTGCGATGGTAATGCTGCGCGGCAGAACGCGAGTACGGCAGAAGGTTTCCAAACAGAAGGCTGACATCAAGGAGGACATTCCTCACTGTATTCCGCAATTTAGCTGCAACCGTCACTTTTCGAAGGGATCATAAGATGGAAACTTAATTTTGATAACAGACAACAAGCTATTTTAAAAACTGTTCAAAAAACCCTCCACCTTCTCTGATACAAAGTCTTGCCCTACGTGTAACACTTCTCGAAGCTATTAAGATGCTAAAACGGTTTTGACGAATTTCATTGGCTGCATCATTGATACGCTGCAGCAATTCCTCACGGGTATCGACTTCGGTGGCGTAAACTTTTTGATTTAGATATCCCCAGAAAAAGAAGTCCAGCGGGGTTAGGTCGGGAGAACGCGGCGGCCAAGCTACCGGTCCGTGCCTCCCTATCCACCGTCCAGCGAAATTTTCGTTTAGGAAATTTAGAACATTGCGACCACTATGTGCCGGGGCTCCATCGTGTTGAAAAAACATGTTACGTCGTAAATTTAGAGGCAGATCATCGAGAATTTGGGGAAGATTTTCTTGAAGTAAGTTTAAATAAAGATTTGAATTGAGACGTTGTGGAATTTCAATAGGTCCAATCAGAGTGTCGTGAATTATTCCCGCCCATAAATTTATGGAAAACCGTTGCTGGAAGTTTGTTCTCCGAACAACATGTGGGTTCTCTTCTTCCCAATAATGAGAATTATGAAAATTTAATTTTCCATTTCGGGTAAAAGTAGCTTCGTCACACCACAAAATTTTGGAAGCTTGCTCGTTGTCCAGCGACAAAATCCAGCGACAAAATTGCATACGTGGCGCAAAATCTTCTGGTATCAAGCCATGTACACGTCGATAGTGATAGGCATGTAGACCTTGTCGCTTTAATATTCTTCCAACCTGAAATGTTAGTAGCACATCTAATCAATTCTGTTAAGGAAATCTTTAAGATATGTAGTACCGTTGGCCGAGGAACATTTATTTGCCTTGAAATGTTCCGTATGCTAGTCGTAGGATCTTGTTCAATAGCGTCAAGGACCTCCGCTTCCCTATTAATCCTGGGACGTCCTTGACCCGGTGCCTTTCGAAAAGTGGCGGTTGCAGCTAAGTTGCGGAATACCGTAGGGAATGTCCTCCTTGATGGCAGCCTTCGGTTTGGAAACCTTCTCCCGTACTCGCGTTCTGCCGCTGCAGCATTACCATCGCAAAAGCCATAAATAAATATCATATCAACTAACTCTTGTCCCGTAAACTCTTCCATTTTTTTCGCTTAGAACTATTAAATTGGCAATCGGGTTGACAATACTTTGACATAAGAATACCTTGATAATTTTGTTTAAATTACTATGAAATTGACCAAAGTGGGATTAATTCAAGAGCGATTTTCTCAGAAACCGTTAAAGATAACGATTTGAAACAAGAGTACCTTTTTAACGTAAAACAGTTCGGGAAAACGGAATTTGCTGTCCAATTTGTTAAAAAGTCAAAGATGAAAAAGTTACACACGCAAAGTACCAAGGGCCCCCCCGTACCCACCCCAATGGACCTTGTGGAAATAAATGGATTAGTCCATCAAATTGCTCATCAAAATTTAGCTGTGTATACCAAATTTCATTCATTTATCACAACGCGATTGAGAGATATTGCAAAAAAATGATTTCCATTCCTCCCTCTTCAATGGGTCCCTGTGCCCTTAGGAAGCATTTCCGGACCCATGTTCATATGAACTTTTTTACTTAGTTTTGATCATAGAATCGGCCTGTTCAGAGTTGGCAGCTAATTATGAGACACCCTGTATATTACAGTATTTGCTGTATGTAAAGTCATATCGTAATGTATCCAGCTCGTAGTGAAATTCACTGTCACGGTACTAGATATAAAAACATGCTTAATAGTGCGGACCTGAGGCTTAGTAGAACAAGAAATGGAACAGCATACTGGGGTGTTAAATTGTATAATGTTTTACCACATGAAATAAATGTTAAATTTTATTAGTTTTAAGCGTAACGTGAAACATTTTTTATCAAGACATGCTTTCTATAGCATAGATAAATTTTTAAATACAAATATGCAGTAGATGCATCCCATCTATTTCCGGAGTATTCTTGTTTTAGTTATTTGTTGCTTTCTTCTTATTATATTGCATCTATGTATTCCAATTGTCAGTCTTTACTGTATTTTTAAGTTTGACTATTTATGTTAATGTTTGTATTGTATTTAATTTGTATGTGTATTTTACATTTTGATTTTGTATTTTTAGACGTTAGATTTTTAATCTTACTCTTACTATAGGACTCTTAGGACTCTATCCTCACTATTATGTTCATTCGCTTTTCCCCTTTATTTCTTTTTTGACTTGTGTAAATACTTATGTGTACCTAGCACCAATAAGCTATCACTAAATCACTAAATCAAAAGATGACAGTAGAGATAACAAAGCAACGCAGTCGTAGCAAATGTCGTATATTTTAATAACTATTACAACAGAAATTTCTCTAAGCTTGTTACTTTGACTTTTATTGAACAATTAATCCAAAGTGCTCAATTACGTTTTCAGAAATTGTGGTATCAACACGTATGGCCCTCGCTACAACAAGAAATGAGGACTCAAGAGGTGCTTGCCGCGGTTTTGCAGCCCGTGTTGTACTTAATACAAGAGTCTACAATTGAGGAATATGAGTCCATTATTCTTCCGTCCTTTAGGTAAGGTTCTTCTAATATAAAGCTTTTCAGCTACATTATAAAGAGACAGGCGAGAAAGGCTCCCGTTATTAAGAGAAAATGTGGACTTAGATGCCTATATTATTAGACGGGAATTTGTTATGAGCTTTTCAGTATAATGTATCATAAATTCTAGAGTTAATAAAATATTAGAAAATAAGACTTGTTCCTATGAAATGTGGGTCTATATCGTCTTTTATTTTCAAGATACGTTAAATTTAAAAAGTTAGTAGGGTGTAGTTTAACTAGTTTTTAAATAAGTTACACAGGGCGTTTATTCTACTGCAAACCCAGAATATTTTAAGTCATAGCTGTTTTGGGGTTAGGATGTTATTCTAAAACACCCTGTATTCGATATTTTTTGTCTTGTATACACAGGGCAGTTATAAATCTATCTATAAAGCAGTTATCTAGCCTGATACTCTTAGGCCAGATAGTACTTCAAAATAAATAAATAAATAAATAAATAAATAAGGGATAATAACGGAAATTATTATTTTGTTTTTTACTATGTCTTAAAAGCCATTGTAAATAACTTATTCGTATTTTGATATTGAGCTTAGGGGATAGTATTATTCAAATTCAATATGTGTTGTTTTTGTGGGTAAGTATTTAATTTAAATTCAAATTTATGAGGACACATTTTTGTAATATTTCATTAGCTTGATAGCACTCGATTTCTAATATCTAATATTTCAAACTATAAATGCTTTGATTATGTCTTGAAATAAATTAAAAATTTTTAAAACTTTCTTTGATGAATAACAGGGCTTCCACTGTAATTTATGCCAAATTTGGGACACTGCTAAGATATCTGTAAATTATCACATCAATTTAGTACATTCTGCAAAATATGTTTAGATTTTGAAGAAAGTCATAGATAAACACTTCCCTAACTCTATCCATTATTCGTATGTTAAGGCCTAACATTTCGGGAAAGGGATTTTTTTATTGTTTATATCTCGAAAACAGTTGAAAAATATCCTACAACTAAGAGTTCTTTCAAGCGGCATCAAAGTAGAGTTCTACTATGCGGTGTATTACGAAATTTGTTTATCCTACATTTGAATAAGTGCTACTGAAAATATAAACGTTTTCAGAATTTAATTATTTTTAGTCGTTTTCACGATAAACGCATTTCCTAGGATATATCATGTTGTATTGTGTTATCATAAAATTTGGCCAGGACAATTCATATTATATCAATGATTTTCTTGAAAGATCACCATATTTTTTTTCGTCAACAAAAAAGGTAAATTTAAAATTTATTATAACAAAGACACAACTACAGTACTTGTAGAATTATATTCTCGATACTAATATATCAAACGTAAAATTTTTATAGTTTAAGAAACAAAAAAATATTTGGTTCTTTTGCTTTAAAGAGTTGTACAAATTTTTTTCGAAATTTGGACCCCTATTTTGGGGGTTTAGTCACTTTACACACCTCTGTGCTGATTCATTTACGAATTACCCTGTATATAAACAGAATCATTCTCAAAATAATTTTAGAGAAATATCCTTGTCCACACATTTATTGTCAATTCTGCAAAAGCTTAAGTATTTTTTTATAAATTATATGTTCGGGACAAACAAAACAACACTTATCCTTTTACAGTTTGAAATAAAATGTGATTCTGATATTTATATTTCGCTTATAATTTTGTCTCTCGTTACTCTTTTCGTAAGGCAAAAATAGAAACCTCTTCGAGAAACAAAAATTATAAACAAAAGATTGACGAAATATTCTCCCTTTTCAATTTTATTACATCGTCGCATTTTTATTGACCCACTAACGTTTATTTGCGAGGAAAATTGTAAACAAGTACCGCTTTATAAAGGAATTTCTGATATTTTGTATTTTATAGACTGACACTTCTGTCCTGGGAAATGCTGACCGTTTTTATTCAATAACGATTCCAAAACTGGAACGAACATAACTCATATTTGACAATTTAATAGCATTTTCGATACTTGACGAATGGAACATTGGAAACCCTTGTTTCAAATTAAAAAATGCTGAAAATGTAAAACATTTTATGATACCCGCAATAAAAATCGCATGAAATCTTTGTATTATGTTGTTAAATTAACTATAGCGAAGAATTTGATGTGAAACAATGAAAAGTACTTAGTTATTTGAACAAGATGATTAAAAAAATATTTAGCTTTCTCGTCCTAATTCTAACGAAAAAAATTGGTATTTATGTTATCTATTGTTTATGTAACAATGTAAATAACTAAAAAATCAAAATAGGCCAGTTGGTAGAGGTTCGGCCTGTGTCAAACCTTGATAACCCGGAAATAACTACACAGGCCTACTTTAAATGATGAGTACAATAACAGACTAATTTGCTGACAAAGTATTTTATCAGGAAAAAAGTTATTTACAGTTTAATAGTGAAACATTTTTTTAGTAGTTTTGTTTAAATAACTCAGCGGGATTACTTTGTACGAAAAAATGCTTAGGACATGATTTTGTTCGTAATAAAAATAGCTACAAAATGGCGGTGGTCCGATTACAAAATTTGTAATAACAAAGCCGTGAGATTGAAAAAACGGTATAAAACATAAATTTTTTAAAGTTGCTGTAAAAATGTCAATTATAAACATAAAGTGATAAAACTTTCGTAAACTCTATAGTTTCAATATATGTAGAATAATGACGCTAAAGCCGAAAATCAGGAGAGCAAAACTTTTTGTTCTATAAGGTGTTATACATTCATCGGCATCTGAAACTCGAAACTTTACCAAATTTGTTCGAAGCTTTGCTGACACTTGAAATTTGGTAAACGCATAGTACAAATATGCAGAAATCAAAATCAATTTGCAAAATTCAAGTATCTTCATTTTTGCAATTTTGGTAAGGTTTTATACGTTACCCAACTTTTATGCGTCACCGTTTTTTTAATTTTTGGATGTATATTTATAAAATATTCTATTACGGTAGATTACCAGCACAATTACCTACAATTTAAAAATAATAATAATTTATTAATTTTCATCGTTTAGATCCTAAGCTACTTAACATTTTGCGCCTGTTAGCCGTAGTCGTACATTATTCAACATATTAACATAAAACAAAATCGTACGTGTGGGGTAAACCTTTAACTTTTCATTTTCGAGCGCGAGCTCCGCTCTTCGGCGCTTGTATACTATTAGAAATATGCAACAGTAAATTTAAACAATTGTTTACTTAAAGTTAAAGGTTTACCCCACACGTACGATTTTGTTTTATGTTAATATGTTGAATAATGTACGACTACGGCTAACAGGCGCAAAATGTTAAGTAGCTTAGGATCTAAACGATGAAAATATATATTTTTTTAAATTGTAGGTAATTATGCTGGCTAATCTACCGTAATGGAATATTTTATAAATATACATAAATATACGTCCAAAAATTAAAAAAACGGTGACGTATAAAACTAGGGTGACGTATAAAACCTTACCAAAACTGCAAAAATGAAGATACTTGAATTTTGCAAATTGCTTTTGGTTTCTGCATATTTACACTATGTGTGTACCAAATTTCAAGTGTCAGCAAAGCTTCGAACAAATTTGGCAAAGTTTCGAGTTTCAGATGCCGATGAATGTATAACACCTTATAGAACAAAAAGTTTTGCTCTCCTGATTTTCGGCTTTAGCGTCATTATTGTACATATATTGAACTATAGTTTTCAAAAGTTTTATCACTTTTTGTTTATAATTGACATTTTTACAGCAACTTTAAAAAATTGACGTTTTATACCGTTTTTTCAATCTCACGGCTTTGTTATTGCAAATTTCGAAATCAGACCACAGCTGTTTTTTATTTTTTTATTACGAACAAAATCATGTCCTTAGCATTTTTTTCGTACAAAGTCATCCCGCTGAGTTATTTAAAAAAAACGACTAAAAAAAAATTTTTCACGATTAAATTGTTAATAATTTTTTCCTGATAAAATACTTTGTCAGCAAACTAGCCTGTATTCCTGTGTAGTTATTTCCGAGTTATCAAGGAAATGTCACCAACAGTAACTTTTCGGCCTCTGCCGACTGGAAAGTTTAGCAGATATCGCTCAGCAAGGAAATATTAAAAATAATAATAATTTCCATGTGAGTTTATGATTTCAGAGGCTTTATAGATGGGTAATATTATATCTTACATCTTTCCACATCATATTTCGTTGTTAATTTGTTATTTACTAAATTTAATAAGTAAATACGATCCTTTAAACTGTAAACTTTATATTGTATCCGAAGTATATATTTATGGGCCTCAGAGGCGAGCTATATTAAGTTAATTATCAGGAAAACAGTACCTAGTCTTTGAAGTGTATGTACGCGAGGCAGCCCTTTGATTGTAGCAATCAAAAATTACGTTAACATTATGAACACAAGAGTATTTTAAACAAGGATGTTCATCTAATAAGTTCTATTTTAATTTAGTGTTATAGTGCATGCGCTGGAAAAAAATACTTTTCACTGTGTTGCAAAGTAATTACCTACATAAGAGAAATACATTGTTGTTGCTTTACTTGCAGCACATACGAAAATAACACTTTTTGCTTCTATTTTAGTAGTGACTCGTAAAATCAGTAAATGATTTTAGCAACTTACTTCGAGTACCAAGTGTTCTGATTGAAAGAAAGATATGCAAAATATACAGGGTAGGCCATTAGTGTGAGAAAGTAAAATAACTCCCTTGTTGCTCATAGTACAGAAGAAAAGTATGTATACTTTATATTTTACAGAATAACTACCACAAATAAATATTAACCAGTTAACTCAAAATGGAATGATAAACTATGAACTGATAAGTTGACACAATGTGACAATTTTCTCCAAAGCTATTTCGTGCGACCGAAAATAATAAAAATTAGGTTTTTCCATAAATGTTGCTATATCTTAAAAACTAACAACTTTAGGTGTAGAACATACTTAATAAAACTTGAAGTGGACTGATATGTGAATAAAGTAGAACAATAAAATACAGGGTG